CCGATCTGGGCGGGGTTGTTGTAGCCGCTACAACAACAACAACAACACAACATTCATCCAAACAAGCTATCGCCTCGTCTGCTCTCTCGTTGCGTCCTATGCTCCTATGGACGAAAACGCAGACAACAGGGAGTCATCGAGCGTAATTCCATCTTGCCTTATTTGACGAGCTTAGACTTGGTTTCAGTAGATGATAAAGCTATGAGTGCTGCCGGGCTGAGTAAATTGCCGCTCTTTCTTTTGTGGAAGCGCTATTATTTAGTATGCTACAGGCCTCACATATGCCCAGAACTTCAGCCTGAAATTTGCGGGAATGGTTTGCCAGCCGCAGGGTCCGATTGACAGCAAGCCCTCCGGAATAGACTTCTGTCCCTACACCGCAGTCTATCTCGGAACCGCCAGTGGATATACAGATGACTTCCTATCAGCTTGGCTATTTTTCATTGCCTTCTGGATGGAAACCACATAAGTTCATAAAAGCCAAAATCCAAGCTTGATGGCATGTAGTCCGTGACTTTATTTGCTATCGGACTAAGGCTTTAGATTGAGCTATGTCGAAAGGTCGGAAGACACCCTGAGTCTTACTGCTGTGTACATGACGATATCCTTTAGGTAAAGATCAATGGGTATCATATTGATGACGAAATTCAGTGCTTCTGTGGAACATGATTTCAATGCCCCAGTAATTCCTGAACATGCCGCTTTTTGTATACTACTTAGACTTTTGACAATGTACTGTATATTTAAATACCATGGCGCAGCAGGTAACGATTAGCCTTATCATAGCGTTGTACATCCACATCAGAAGTTTCAGTTTTAATTCCCAGCTTCTACGCCAACGCTTGGGACGATGTCAATATAATATAATTGTTGCACTCAAAAAAATCAAAAGACAAATCGCATCTCGCATATTCCTAATAGTAGCTTCCGTTTTCGTTCCAGTCAAACATTTTTAACTATACCATAGAAACAAATTTTGTGCACTAAAAGTTGTATTTTTTTTTTTAATATGACCAGCAATACACGGAAAGCTATTAGGTCACGCCCCACAATTTGAACCATGAGACTCGAGGGACGATGCGACGTTACCTACCCGTGCAAGAGCTATCACCTTAACACAAGAGATGGTTTGGGGGCGGTTGTTAAAACCATAACATCCCACAATCTATCACTGGTATTATGAGTATCAAAGTAAGGCAAAACAATGTATGTGAGGTTGCCCAAAGTGTACAGTAAGAGAGTAAAAACTGTCTTTTTCAGGCTTTTGCAGAACGAAGATACGCGGTTTTGAACTTTAAACGACGATATGTATGTGTAAGCCACACTACTTATAATTTCATTACTTTATTTTTATGAGCTTAAAATTAAAACTAAGTCAAGAAAAAAATGCAACTTACATTCGTTATGGCACGCAAAAATACGATGATCTCTTCATTCTTTAATTTACAAAATTGTGAGCATAACAGAAAACTCTTCAAGCTGACTGTGTAATTGTGATGCTGCAAAACAAAAGCAAGAAAGAAAAGTAATATTTAAGAGAAAAGGGTACGATTATATTTCCTAAACATCTTACATGATCTAAAAGTGCAAAAAGCTGGTGTAGATGCGTACTCTTGGCATCGAGTTGCAGCAAATCAGCAAAAGTAAATATGTCTAATCGGTCAGTATTGTGTAAGCTAAGGAAATCAGCGACTAATTCTTGGTCACGTTCGGAATCCGGTAGGAAGCTGTAAAAAGGAAATAGGGATAAAGCAAAATAAATAATGAAACATGGCAAGTAAATTAAAATTTAAACACGTGTATGTGAAAATATTAAAAAAAAAAATTAAAATGTGTAAAAAATAAGGCAAAGCAGCTAAAAATTTTTAGTTTGGTAAACTGTTAGCATAAAGCAATGCAAAAGACAGCAAGCAATTCAGTTCAGTTCAATACGTCTGCCCACGCTTACCCCAAACTGTAAAGCACACGTTCAATTTCGATAATATCACCAGGGTAGGGCACACGCATATCTTTGGCACGACTCATTGTAATCACATCTTCGAATGAATATTCTGACGTTGGCACACCGAGTGCTCTAAGGAGAAGGAAATAAGCAAATTTAAATTTTAGAACGACAAATATGTTATCTTGCATCTGGTACTCACTTCGCCATAACATCGCGCACATTTTGTGCATATAAATTTGCATCAGCTTTTTCCTCTTCTGATGGCGTGTAGACAGGCAAAAATTCGATTTCGCAACGACTATAGAATTGCGCCATCGTCAGCCAAAGTAGCTTGAGGCTAATTATTAACAAATATAGAAATATGTTATTAACACTATGATTGATATTGCTTATTTATATTGAATACATTTTCACACAAATTATAAAAACTATATATTGTACTACCTAATATCTATGCATGTACATATCGCTCATTTACTTTACTAGTATCACAACTCAAAAAATACAAATATTGAGCAAAATTTGCAGAAATGATCGCTAACTCTTCTTCTATCTTGTGTAAAAAGCTGTATGGATTACAAGTATTTCGCTAGAATAAAATATGTATTCAATTTACCATAGAAGTATATGTTAATTCAAAACTTTAAAGCCGTTTTTCTCGAAAATATCAAATATCAACGCGATTTTTTTGCAGCTCCAAAATAGCACTTTATTATAAAAAAATCTAATGCCTACCAAATTTAAAACTGCTTACCAAAAATTATTCTAAAAGTTCTGATTAAAGTTTGAAATAATGATGAAACTTATATTCTTTCATAATTTTTGCACAAAGTTTGAAATTTGGACTTACATACATTCACGAAATTATGCCAAAAATAAAAACAAAATTAAATGTGAAGTTAATAATTGAAGCCCTCACTAGGCTACTTACACGCCAGGTCCATCCCATGTCCAAGTGAATGAATCATATTTGTTGGGGTACTTCAACAACACCGGCTGTACCGGCACCCCCGGATAAAAAGCTCCAGGCTTAAATTTAATCAACGCCTTTCGATTAGTGCATGTACCCTCGGAAAATATCACAACTTGAGGCCATTCATCCTCGGAACGTGCGCGTTGTACAATTTGACGTATCGTATTTTGACGCGAATTCGGATCCTCCCGCTGCACATAAATGGGTTGAGCAAAATTGATGATTTCTATTAAAGATAAAAAACAATTAAAAATATATTACTTAGTTAGGTGATGAAAATGTAAACAAATGAAAAACTTACTGCCTAGCAGTGGTATATCGGCTGTTTCGCGCTTAGCCACAATTGACGGTGGTCCAGTTGCTACAACAATAATCGAATCCACATAAGAGGAGTGTGGTGCCACGACCATAATGGGTGCTTGTTTGGGTGATGCACGCTCGCCAGTCAATTTGATATGCATAAAAGTGCCAGCAGCAAAGAGTGTGCGCATAGCACCAGAGGTTACGCGTTGACATTGTCTATGCAATGGAAAGGGAATTTAATGATAAATGCGACCTGGTCTACGGAAAGGGGGCTTAGGTGTCAAAAAATCAATTTTCACTTTTTGGTTGATTCGAATGGAAGATGAGATGCTTTTCACTTTTAACAGCTTTTTCACAGAAAACTAGTTTTCGCACGTAAGCTCCCTTTTCGTAGACCAGGTCACATATTATGAAAGTCAAAAATATACATACATACATACATAATGAATTTTTTTTTTTTTTAATCGACTTACTTTCGCCAACCGGTTATTGGTTTTGACATTAGTTCATCCAATGTTAGACCATAGAGGCCAATACAGGCAAACATCCACGCAGATAGTAGAGAGAGAACACAGCCGACAACGCGAATTGGCAACAAAAGCACTGTTAGCACATAAACCTGCAATACAAAATTTAAGCCATAAATTGTTAGCAGGTGTTTCCTGAGTAATCGTAAGGTTTTGTATTGGATGAATCTTATCATATAAATACTACTTGATTTGGACTATAGAGAAATCACACTGGTGTGCTTGAAAATTGGCCCTGACACCATTCTGCAAATTTCTGATGGGAAATCATATTCACAATTTGAATCAGACAACGTTTGAAAGGAACGGCCAGCTAAAAATTCCAAATCAACTTAATTGAAGACATTTAAATTTACATCCTGAAGACTTAGAAACATGCATATAAATTTAATTTAAATGGAAAATGATTTTTTTTCCTGTCAATTTCCATATAAAATTTTAAACAATTAAACAATTTTTCAACTAAATGGCTCTCGTGAAATTGGCTGTTAAAGCGGAAAAATGCGCAGTATGACATTAAAGAGTTGATCAAAAAAATAAATAATATTGCCATAAATTTTAAAACTCAGCGGACGCATTTCAATGTGGATCGACCTTTTTTTTAATAAATGCTGCAACAAGTCAGAATGTTAGGAATAGTATAACAAAGTATAAAGAAGTAAATGAAAATTTGAATATATGAGCCGTTTATAATACCCCTCTTGTCACAAGAGTCTTGTCTGCAAGTCTCAGAGAAGGAAGCCTACATCAGATGGGCAAAAAACATAACTCAAGAGAAAATCGCGTTTTTTTCGGTGCATTAACTTTAGACGATAGGACGCATAACAGTTGTTTGTAACAGCCAGAACGAATCGAGATAGATATAGAGAAATGTATACATAAATGATCAGAATAAAAAAAAAGAAATCGATTAAGCCATGTCTGTCTATCCGTCCTTTGGTACGTAGGTTGCCCTTTATCCAAGGGAGGTTGGTATTGAAAATGGGCAGATTCGGGCTGTAACCACGCTCACTTCCCATATAACGGTATTTTCGAAAAATGCAAGAATTGCGCTATTTCAGTAAATATTAGATGCAAATTGTTGAAAATTAGTATGTGGAGTAGAATTGTGGTAAACAATAATATTATTATGAAATTTCTGGAAAATGGGCGTGACCCCACCCACTAAGGTACGAGGCTTAACTAGGGCCTAGCTAAGAAATCTGTTGAAAATCTTTAAAATCGGGCAATAACCACGCCCACCTCCCATATAACGGTAATTTACAGAAACACGAAACCTGCGGTAAATCAGTAACTACGGAAGCTAATTAACTTAAAATCGATGATTTCAATAACCACTTAGCAGAAAAGTAGAATATTATAAATTTTTGGATAATGGGCGTGGCGCCACCCACTTATGATCACAAATGTATATCTCGGTAACCGATTTATCAATTTCTACCAAACTCGGTGCACTTAATAACCTTGGTACGAAAAAGCAACCCAATAGATAATTTGAAGAGTTAAAAGCCCTTTCGAAAGGCCTTCTTGAGAATCAAGAGGCCTTCCACTCTACATTACTTTCTCCTTTCCTTCTTGTATGGAGTGGCACAAATTGAAGGGCTTCCTCTTTCGTTACCCATAGAAGGCCTTCCAGAAGGGCTTTTATAGGACATACTTCAGAAGGCCTTTTGGAGGAGTTCTTTAAGGCTGCTTCTTTAATTTATAAAAATCATACATCTTTGAAGTATTTGCATCAAATTTGAGTTATTGTAACTTAAAATTTTTATTGAAATTCATTTGTAATGTTAAATAATATAAATTTATGCATTCGCGTAAATTGTAAATGGATAAACCCTTCTAGAAGGCATGCAAGGAAGTACTTTTTCAGCCCTTCTTGGGTAGGCGTCTTAGGATGGCTTCGCTTAAGAAGGCCTACCTAAATTATCTTCTGGAAATTTGTTGCAAATTATTGAAATTGAAAATTATGATAATTACTCGCGCTTCCCGTATAACGGAACATTTCAGAAATATGAAAACTCCGATATTTCAATAACTGAGGACGCATACTTACTCCAAGTTAATAGTTACAACAATATCCTAACAATAAATAAGACTGCTATAGACTTTTAGGAATGGGGCGTAACTACAAATGGTGTACCTCGGTAACCACTTAATCGATTTGTACCTAACTTGGTCCAATTATATCACTAAGTCTAACTCTGCATATATCGAAAATGTTTGAAATCGGGTAAACACCCCTACTTATCATGCGAAGGTAGTTCAGAGAAAATTGAAGCGAAGATATTTGATACCTGTGCCGAATATATAAAGTTCGGTTTCGCCCGAACTTATCCTTCTTAAAGTTTTTTCGTGGCAGAAATACACTCGGAGGTTTACCATCTTCTGCCTAAGGCCATCGCTATCTGAAAACACTTTGCTGTTAATCGGATCAGGGTTCGAAGAGTGGCTCTACCGAGTGGAATTGCACACCTCTAACCAATTTAAAGCAATTATTTTTTTATTTATACGAAACATTTTTTTTTTCTAAAAAAAGTTTTATACCTGAGTGTACATACGTACTTAGTATGGCTATTTAGAATGCGTTGAACTTGCATAGTTCTAAACGATTTAATTTTCAAAAATTAAAACCTAATTCAGTGCATTTTCCCTCTTATTTTTTTAGCAAGATAAAATACCTCCAAGTTTATACATATATATATAAATTATACAATCGCGAGATAAAAAAATAATTAAATAAAATTAAAGAGTATTACATACATATATGTATGTACATATGTATGTATGTAGTGGTCAAAACTAGTGGCGGTGGCAGCAGAAGCAGCACACAGCAGCAGAAGTAAATAAATACAAAAATAAACAGTAGGGCTATTCGCGATTCGGTGCATAAGAGCTGACAAATTTATGCAATTGCAGAAATATGCCATGGATTGTGAGCAACCTTTATTAAACTGTGATGGTAAAACTTTTTTAATCAGCTGATAGAAATGTCAACTAGATTTGCAATGCATAGCATTTTTATGCTATGGATTTTCGGTATTGCAAATTTGTCAAGCCATGGCAAATGCAAATGCGTGTATTTTGTTTGTGTATTGCAAATAATTTGCAATACAAATTTGCAATGAAATGATGCTAGGCCATTTGCACCGGATCGCGAATAGCCCTATCGGTTTATTTTTTATTGTACCCACATGTAAAAATACCACAGATATTTACATACTATGTATGCATATACAGTCAGCGTTAAAAATATGGATACCCTGATGTTTTAAAGATTTTATTTATATTTTCCGTACAAATTTTTTCTTATTTTTTTTATAAAAATATACTTCATTCAACAGCTAGAATCAATTTTTTTATTTTCATACCAAATTCTGAAAAATGCAAGAAATACCAAGAAATTTGCAATTTTTAAACTCGATTTCTAAGACAAATTTTTAGTATGCAGTTTTGTAGCACATTTTCTTCCAAATCGCTCATTTACTTCAATAGTGTCGCACCTAAAAAAAAAACCCAAACTCGAGAAAAACGGCTTTAAAAATTTGAATTTACATATACTCCCATAGTAAAAATTAATACTGGTAATCGATACATCTATGAAATTTTTGCTCAACATAGAAGAAGAAGTAGCGGTAATATCTGCGTACTTTACTCAAAATTTGTAATTTTTCGGTTATGACACTATTAAAGTAAATAAGCGATATAACCTTTTTTATATGAACACCAGCGAATTGAAACTAGGCTACATGGGCTACCAAATTGCATATTCGAAATTCTTCTTAGAAATCGAATCGAAAAATTGAACATTTCTGGCATTTTCCTACGAGTTCTTAATGAAATAAAAAAATATGCATATCACCGTTTAAAGTACAAAACCGCGTATCAAGAAAATGCAAAACCGCGTATGTGAGGTTGCCAAAATTTTATAAGAGAAAGTAAAACTTTTCAAATTTCAAAACGGTTCTCCTTTTTATCCCTAATTATCTCTTCTTCTTATATCTAAGATTGATATTTTTACAAAAAGAAATAAGAAAAATTTTCTATGGAAAATATGAATAACTAAAACCGTCAAAAACGTCAGGGTATGCTAATTTTTGACGCTGACTGTACATGCTTTTGCCTGTGCTTCAGCCATAGCCATCTGCCGGCACAAGTCACATAGGCCATGACCAATTCGCATGAAGAGCGCATATCTACACAACAATGTCGGCATTGAAATCAACAGTAAAAGGCAGAAAACAAAATAGAAAACGAAAATGAAAATGAAAGCAAACCAATATGAAGCGAAATATGTACAGAAAATTGCACTGAAAGGTAATCAGAGTAGAAGGCTGAAATGTAATCGGGCTTCATAGCAGCCACGCAGACGTTGACTCTGACGCTGAGTGCAATTAAATATATTTTACTACAGCGAAGAAAATATGTAGCAAATATTTGCATAATTATTGTATGTAAATACACACAAAAAATTTAGTCCACATATTTTCTTTGAACTACAAACGAACTCATAAAAAACTTAGCGTAATTGGGTCACTTGGACACAAAACATAGATTAATGTGCCCTTTTAGCAAAATCAACATACAGTGCGCCTAAAATTATGCAATTTGTACTCTGTTTATAATCTGCGTTAGTAGCTGAAGAGCTGGATTCGTCCATTTTAAGCGGTGGACTCTTCACAGGAAGTAATCGAACAGAAATCGAATAGTTGAAATCAACATTAAATGTTTGAAAGATCAATGCAGTAAATTTATAGATTTAAAAGTAACAAAAAAAAAAGTTAATATAAATATTTAGGTTAATTAATAAAAGAAAAAACATGAGTCATTATTTATTTTCCTAGTGAACTGCGTCGAATATTTGAGCAGCGATTAGTCATAAATGTATTGTCGCCTTGGAATGTTATTAAGAATCTACATATTTGTATATATGTATAATCATAAATTAAGTGTATTTGTCTTAATTTAGAAGCTGATCAGCTAAATACGTACATTGAGAAAGAATCAATTAATATAAGTATTTAAGTAAATATAAATTAAATCAAAGTATTTACATACATATTAAAAGCCTTCAAGTAGTTATTATGAAGA